CATCCATTTTGTCCCAAATTTCATCTCTTGGCACAACTGTGTAGTATGCCCTTGAGTATATATCCACAGGTTTTATTCATTTGTCCACTGAATCTATTACCATTTTAAAATAACTTATTTAATTATAAGTTGAGACCATTTATTTGTTAATCGTGGCTGTATTTAACAACCAGTTTAAAAAATTCCTGAAAACTTGAGGATTGACTCATGTGAACCCTGAAGAGCTAGCTCCAACTCACAGGGAACAGCCTGGTCCTCTGTGTAACTACTGCCTGGCTCCACTTGCCCTCCAGGATGTCCCTGTCTTGCCTCCCCCAAGCAGGCTCCTGGGACTAAGCCTCAACTGGACATTAGCAGTGACTGATGAAACAGTAAGGTACAACTCATAGTGGTTTTTACAAACTCATTTTTTAACTACTATTAATTTTTTTAAGATTATTTATGCATGCAGAACTGAGGTACAGGCCAGAGGCCAGAGGTGCAGGAGTGTTGAGAGGATTCACCTGAGACAGAGTGGGGAGCAGGACAGGCCAACTGATGAAGTACACTGCTGAGGGGAGCAGCAGACAGGCCAGGAGAGGTCTGCCACGCCGTGTGGATCACCTCCAGGGTGGGGATCGAACTCACCCTGAGGCAGATGCTGCTAGCTTGCAGTGCTGCACCTTAACCCGCTGAGCCACCAGGGAGGGCCCAACTTTTACATATGGAAAAATATAGTTCAATATGTGCATGCTTTTAAAGTTCTAAAACCTAATGGAAGACTCACAGTAACCCAGGAGAGTCATCACAGCATTATTCTCCACTCATAGTCATCTCTGTTCTATGAGCAGGACCGGGGCTCTGCAAGGCTGTAGGGTAAATGGAATTAATCAGGCTAATTTTTTTTTAAGACTTATTCATTTATACATACATAACTAGGGTACAGACCAGCGGTGCGGGAGCATTGAGCAGATTTACCAGAGACAATGGGGAGCAGAACAGGCCGACTGACGAAGTACACTGCTGAGGAGAGCAGCAGGCAGGTCAGGAAAGGTCTGTTGTGCCATGTAGGTCAGCTCCCTGATGGGAGAGGGGTTGGGGGTGTTGGGGGGGGTGTCAGACCTTTGCAGAAGAGGCTGCTGCCACCTTCTTCCTAGTGCTGTACTTTAACCCCTTGGGCCACCAAGGAGGCCACTTCTGTGGCTATCACCTAAGGCCTTGAATGTGGAAGAAGCTTGGGAGCACGGGCGCAGGGCATGGGCGCCTGATGGTGGACACCTGGAGTAGGGTGTGGCCTGCAGGAGTGTGCACACCTGAGCATGGAGGCTGTACGGGCAGCATCACTCGGAGATGGTGTCCAGGAGGATGACTAGGTGAGGCATGGCTATAGAAGAGGTGACAGCAGGGAACATCACCAGAGAAAGCTCAAAGAAAATAGCATAAAATATCATGGCGGTGGCCCTCCCTGGTGGCGCAGCGGGTTAAAGCACAGCACTAAGAAGCTAAAGCCACTTCCACATGAGTTCAATCCCCGCCTGCCCCGGAGGTGACCACATGGCGTGGCAGACCTCTCCTGACCCGCCCGCTGCTCCCCTCAGCAGTGTACTTCGTCGATCTGCCTGTTCTGCTCCCTACTCTGTCTCTGGTGAAGCCTCTCACCGCCCCTGAGCCTCTGGCCTGTACCCCAGTTCTGTATGTACAAATAAAATAAATCTTAAAAAAAAAATATCATGGCGGGTTGGGAAAGTTGCCTGCCTCCCGCCCGCCCACCCCTACTCCGGCCCCCCTGCCTTGCCAGCCTGCAGGTTTGCCACTCAAAAGGCCCGAGGCCGGCACAGAGCTACCTGCAAGTGACCCACAAGTCAGAGAGGGCCATTGCCTCTTTGCTCCCTCAGCTGGCCCCAAGCCTTTGAGACAGTTTTGCTCAGCTCTTCACAGGCCTTAAGCAGCAAGAATTGTACAAATTACTGAGACATGAGCCTTCTGACTTGGGATTTCTTAGCTTGTTAATTAGATGGCACTATTTTTGCACAATTCTATAAATAAGTATTCATGTGTGGTACAAATGGTAATTCCAGAAAGCCAGTAACCTAGAAGAGAAAGTAGGTTTTTTTCTCCTACAGCACAGGTCAGGAGACAGTTCCTGAGGTGGCACTGAAGACAGCGAGTGTGAACACCCATTATCTTCCCCTTTTCCTCAGCAAAGAGAAATAGCAAAGATCTGCTCCCCAGAAGATAAAGGGAGGAATCAGAATGGATACATTCTGATATCCATTTGTTCAGGGAGAAGAGCTTCCTTTTGTAATCCCAATAGTGGCCAGACTTTTTTTTTTTAACAAGGAAACAGGGACACTCAGATCAAATTGGCCAACTGCTTAGTTAAGCCAGACGTGGGGGTTGTCACCATCTCACATTGCCAGGAGGGGTTACAAGTTCTCTAAATACCAACCTGGCAACATTCATCAAAATTTCAAGCACGTGCTCTTTCTCACTTAGCAGTTCCAGCCTGAAGTTTCCCCTCAAAGACAATCCCCTGTGTAAAGTGAAGGGTATAGGTTATGCTTTTCACGATCATAACAGGCAGAGAAACAACCAAAGATGAATCATCAGGAAACTTCTCGATAACATAGGACTTCCAAACAAGGAAATACTATGCAGCTCTAAACATAATGCAATTGACTTATCTATTGATATAAAAGGATTTCTAGGATATATTACGTACCAAGGCAAGAGGAGGATGGTCATACATACTTATAAATTTATGAAATATTTCTAGAAGTATAAGAAAATGGAAACAGGAGGCCTGAGGAAATTAGGACACAGGGAGATATGGAGACTTTTTACTTTTTATAGATCCCTTAGAGAATTCTTTTGCATTGTATCCATTTGCATGTATTTTATTTTCAAACTAAGTAAATGTATACAAGTTGATGAGGATGCCTGGGGAAAGGGAGAGTGCTTCTGCTGAGTTAGAGGTGGTGGAATACCCTGCAAGGGCAGGTAAGAGAAGGGGCAAATTCAGGGTCTCCGCTCCTCCTGGCTCACAAGAGACCTGACTCTCCACAGCAAGAGGCAAAGTGGCCCACACAACCCAAGCCCGGGAGGAAAGCCGACGGCAGCCCTCAGTGAGGGAATACACAACCTCGCGCCAGTGCAGAGCCTCAGAGCTGAGAGGAATCTCGGCAGGCCCTGGTGAGAGGGCCAGGAAGAGCCCTGGCATTTCTTATGTCTGTGCTAACTCTCAATGGTCAGACTGTCATCTTCTGGCGTCCAATTTACAAAGGGTATATAGCTTTTGAGGACTGAAAGTGTCACTGATACCAAATCACAAGTATAGCAGAGGGTACATGCCCCATCAAAATCCCTTTCGCCAGGCTGCTGCTGCTATGCAGGTAGCCGCTAGGGCCCACAATTACCCGCTTTTCAGCTCTTCTCCAAAGAATTTCCCTCAGCCAAACAGAGACACCTGGCCTACAAAGTTAGGGCCTGCCAGCCCTCTGCCAATGGCTGACAGGTGGGTTCAAAAGCCCCACCCGCTTGTTTCCACGTGAAACTGGTCCCATGACGTAACGCACCTTGGAGCTGGTGGTGGGGTGAGGGGCCGGAGACTCCAGGGGAAAATACCTCTTGGCCTAATTCCTTCCTCTGCCCCATCCTGAGAGCAATCATCTATAATGGGTTTCCTGTCTCTATCTCTGCTTCAGGTTCAAACTGACAAAGTTCATCC